GACAAACTATCGTCTCCAATAAGTCTCCAGATCATATCTTTAGCCATTTTCGAGAAAAAGGGGCGACAAAATTGCATTTTAAAATCAGGAAATTGTCAATAACTTGGCACCAGAAGCGAATTTTCCAAATTTCTCTACGGATGTAACAACTTCATATAATGAGACATATTTTGTGAAAGTTTCATGAAAAACTGCTGAATAGTTTTCGAGAAATCGCCTGCACAAAATTTTGTCAAAAAAAAGAATAATAAGAATAATAAGAAACAGTAGAATCACTATAAGGTCTTCCGTGAAGACGGAAGACCTTAATAATAAGAAGAAACAGAGTAAAAACAATATGTTCCCCAACTTCGTTTGGGGAACATAACAAGGCTAAAATATTAGCATCTCCTTTATTTTTCATTGTTAAAAAAAGAATCACCTTGATATTTTATCTATTGAACATTTGTTTGAATTCTTCCATGTATCATAAAATATCAAATGCAAAGCATGTAACAGCTGTATTGAGATTTTGTGTATTGAGAGAATGAGTCATTGAATCAGAGTGACAATAGACCCTCCATATGTTGCATTCAAATGTCACTCCTACAAAAATAGGTTTTGATTAAAAATGAGATTTATTATGAAATGTAATGGGACATAATGTGTAGCAATTATCAATTGAGGAGAAATTGATAAAGGGTTTAATTTTGGGGCATTTGGAATGAGGAAAATATTAATGAATGAATTTATTTGAAATGTCAAAATAAATTGATTTCAAAAATTGCATATAGATTTTGAACGTGTATGATTAATGACTGGCGAATGCTAACATACATTTATTGCTTCAGAGCAAGGGAGAAAAAAGATTCACCCAAGAAAATCATATTCCCTTTAGGCAAAGTCAAAAGGATTAATTTTTTATTTTCTGTACAACTTGTAATATATTTTATCTGTCTTATTGTTCAAGGCTGTAAATCTTTTCACAGCTATGTGAATTGAGCTGAGAGGATGAAAAAAAAATCATATTTGGCTAAGGCAGTGTCAAATTCAAACCATTATGCAGAGACAATGTACATGTATCATAATGCCAAGATCAATTTTCAGATGTTTCAGACCTCACTTGAGACTTCGAATTCATATGTTGCGCAAATACTATTAAGTTCCTCATAATTTTTGTCTCTGGAGGACAATGGGGATCAAACTTCTGGTTTTATGGTTTTAAATTCAATACTTTTAAAGAGGTTTAACGAAAATTAATGTGAATTTCTATATGAAAAATTAGAAAAATGGTTAGTACCCCCTGTTTGCATAGCCTATATGCACAGAGTATCTTGCTACAGAAATGGTTTTAAATGGGGGCCTGTTACTTCTAGGGTCAAAGGTCAAGGGCGTAGATGTTAAATGTTGTATGTTTTGAATTTTTTATATTAGAAAAATCTTTGCTGCATTAAGACTGGGGGATCAGAAGAAGAATTATATCAATTTTAGAGTCAGCAAGTGTAAAAGGTGTCATAATCGTGAACACTGTAATGAACTCAATCTGAAGAGGTCAAGGGCACTGTCAGATTGAACAAAGATTTGGAGATACACAAGTTAAAGAGAAATGAAGGAACTTTGATATTTTGCAGTTTCTCCCTCTTAGCTATACATGGGAGGAAGACTGGCTTGATTAGGAATCAAATATTCAAAAATTAAGGCGATTTAATTTATGTCAAGAGTTTGGGAAAAAAAGCAAAAGATTTCTCAATATTATTTTGCAGGAGGTTATAATAAAGTAAAATATCAAGAATAGAGGGCTTAAAGATTTAAAAAATGAAATATCACGTATTCAATATTTGTAAAATTGTTTTCTTGAATTAGGCTGTTTAAAGTTAATTCTACGTTTAACGTCACATCTAAAGTTCAAAACCTACGAGGGAGGGAGGAAAAAAATAAACAAACAAAATTTTCAAACAATTGTGAATTTATTCAAATTAACCTATTCATTACATTAAAAACATTACAATTAAGTAATATGAGCATTTAATTGATATGACACCTAAGATTAATTTTCCTAGCAGAGTTTTTCCTTAGTATGTAAATCAGTTTGAGTCCTATTGTTAGCAAAAAATGTAGTCTATGACTGAATGTGAAGGAAAGTGGATTTTAACTAGGCCTCAGTTGTCCTTTGGATTTATATTGCCACACGTCCATGGTACCCTGGAGGCAAATGCTTCTTTTTGTGGGAATAGTTGCTCAATATCTACAATTAAAATTATTGATGATAATATTTAAAACTGTTCATGTTGAAATATCCTCAAATTGAATTATGTCGTATTTTTTCTTAGTACTAGATCTACTAGCATTAAGTTTTGAAAGTGTGAATACTAATACATGTATATATTAGGACCATACTGATAGCTGTTAGATTATCTTTAATACCTTGAATTCCACACAAAAGACAGGATTCTTCACGTCTTGGAATACCTCAAACCACTTTCCTTACTCTCCTTCACTTGAAAGGCCCTATCTTCGGTAAGCTTCTCCCTGCTCAAATGGTTAAGACAAGTATTATCTTTTCCAAAAATTGTAGCTATTTGTACTGATACATGAATTATGAAGAAATCAATTATCTTATTCATTACTGTTTCTTTCGATTTTTACAGAAATATTTTTTTAATATTAAATAAATTACCGGTAAATAAAATTTAAATGATGCTTTTCACTGTATATAAATATTGGTTTTTGACACACTTTCCACTCAGTAAAAAAGTTTTTCGATTTTCTCCAAAATACAATGAAAAGTTCAGCCAATAATCACGAACTGAGAGTGTCAGTCTGTACAATCATGTGATTCGAAGACTGACAAAAAATAAAAAAAACTAGACTTTGTCATTAACTTCAATCATAAAATCATCTATTTTTTACTTACATTTATGGTTCTACCCATACCGAAAAAAGTTATAACTAAGTTATAACTAAAGTATAACTTAGTTATACCTAGCCTGTGAGGTACAAAAAAGTTATAACTAAAATGTAACTTTTTTGGACTTTGTCATTTTCATGTATAACTAAAATGTAACTTTTTGGACTTAGCCATTTTCATGTGTAACTAAAACATAACTTTTCTGGACTTTGTCATTTTCATGTATAACTAAAATGTAACTTTTTGGACTTAGCCATTTTCATGTATAACTAAAACATAACTTTTCTGGACTTTGTCATTTTCATGTATAACTAAAACATAACTTTTCTGAACTTAGCCATTTTCAAGCATTACCAGTATAAATTTACAAGTTTTGGGGGTAATATTTAATGGATACTACTTGACACGACTTTTTTTTTTTTTCAAAAATAACATTATAACCAAGTGTTAATTTGAATGAATTTTGATCATGTTCAAAATGTTTTTGTTTTTTTTTTCAAACACTGCAGCAGAAAACTTTGTCAATTCCTGAACAATAATATTGTTTACTACCAGTGATCGACCTCTCATTCATAATAAATATGCTGTGTGGCAACGCACTTTGAAAAAATTACGCACTTTGAAAAAATTTTTCAAAGTGCGTAAAATTTTTCAAAGTGCGTTAAATTTTGGACACACTCAACGCACTTTGAAAAATTTTTTCAAAGTGCGTTAAGAATGCACATAATAATTTTTTACCATGGAGGCATTTAACGCACTTTGAAAAAAAGATATGAATAAAATAAAAATTCTAGACTTAGATTTTAGTAATAGAGGAAATCAAATTGTAATAATTATATCTTTCGAAAAACTTTTTTAAATTTACATGAACTCATTTAACCTCATTGAGAACAAGGAGAAGACGAGTAGAAGGTCTCTCATCCCAACTCTTTTTTTCTTAAACATTGTACATAGCCGTCGGTAGCAAATTGAAAGTTGACCCCACAGGTAAGCCCCAATTTTTAATGCCTACATGTATATATTATGTATATCTTTGCAAAATATTTATGTGCCTACATGTAAGCCCCCTTTCCGGTACTGTTGCCTATGCTACACCCAAATATATGTGTTTACATAACTGGTATGACGTTGAAAACTTTCAATAAATTTAAGTTTACATAAAATGCATGCAAACTTGAAAAAAATTAAGTACAGTAAAGCATTTAAGCGAGAAAGAATTTTCTAAGTATGGAAAAATCAAAATCGCTCACTTTCATATCCTGATGTGACCTCTTCACAGAAGAAATATAAAACAGGTTCAATTATTTATCATACCTAAGATTTGCATGAATATTAACAAATCCATACACAGTTTTTCAAAGTGCGTTAATATGGTCCATATTAACACACTTTGAAAAGAAATTTTATTTTTTCAAAGTGCGTTGACTTGGTCCCAAAATTTAACGCACTTTGAAAAATTTTTTCAAAGTGCGTAATTTTTCAAAGTGCGTTGTAACAATGCTGTCCACAGCCATGTCAAGTTCAACAGAAGGGATGTGAAATAAAATCTTGTAAATTACATCTATAAATGAGAATCTCTCTCTCTCTCTCTCTCTCTCTCTCTCTCTCTCTCTCTGTGGTGTTTGAGGGTGTGTACACAGTACATGTCATATGTGTGTAATAAATATTATTGTCTATTTAAATTGATATTTGTCATGTAAGTTTCAACTAAAGTTGAGAATAATTAATTTCTCTCTCTCTCTTTCTCTCTCTCTCCTAGAAAATACGTATTTATTGAGACCCTGATGAGACATAATATTTGTCTTGTAAATTATAATAATGCACTTACATCTGAAGTTGGGAATGAATATATTTCATAATGTACTGCAAGAGATATAAACAGTATGAAATGTAATCTCATGAAGTCATGTGAATTTTGCACGGATTCTTCGTGTGCAAAACTGTGTAAATTTCCCTATTGTTTTCTGTGAGACAGGTGTTTGTACTAGGTGACCTTTGTGGCCAACACATCGTAAATATTTCAGCTTGGGTATTACACAATCTCTGAATGGTACAATTCTACACAGGTTGCTTGAAATCTATAGAAAAAACAGTCGTAATATGGGTGGCTAAAAAGATAAACAACAGCATAGAGTATGTGCATGTTCATGTTGAACAGATATTACGATGTTGTGAATAAAGACTGCCAGTTATATTAAGATTTAAGCAGATGACTAGTACATGTAGATTTTATTGTTTGCATAATTAAATAACCCAGTTATAATAGTTATTTTCACAAATAAACAAATATTAAATTCAAAATGGCGGCAACAAAAAATATGGCGGCCTCCGATGTCCGTTTTGTTGATACTAAGATAAATTCAAAATTTTAACACCAACTGGTATTTATATTTTTAATTTAAGTTTAAAATTACACAATGAGGTTTATTTGCATTTAAAATAAATTAATTATTAATTATTTATTTATTTTTTTCGATCACGTGACGTTTTTGAGTTCTATGATTGGTCAATAACAGAGCGCGGATTTTTCCATGGACGATTTGAATGTTTGGATGTTGAAAGTGTTGATAGAAAAAAAGGAGATAAAACCAGTTGGTAAGGCGATATTTATGCTAACATTTTATTGATTTTGGTAAAGTATACTTAGTACCTCTGGAATAACATTCCAAAAAGAAGAAATATTGGGAATGAACAAAATTCTAGGCGTGTGAATCTTAGATTTCTTGTTTGTTTTGATTGGTATGTCGAATGACAAAGACTGAAGTAAACAAATTGAAAGTATTTGAAACGCATAATATTTTTCAGCATTTAGTATATTAATCAAATATGTTGTTCTTTGTCATATTTATTCCCACAATTGTTTATAGATTCCCTGAACTGTTAAAATATTGTGAAGCCTTATACGCATCAGCATGATCATAACATGATCCAGCTGCAACGTTAATTAATGCAATGAAATGAGTAATTTAACATTAATTTTCTTTTTTTTTTATAAAGCAGAATATTGGTACATGATGTTTCCATGAGCTGAATCTGTCCTGACCTGGAGTACATGAAATTCTTCAAAATATTACTTGTTTTAGGTAAAGTAAATTTTTTTTTCATTTCAAAATTCAATAAATCTTTCAATCTAAAACTGATTCCTGTAAGTATAGATCTTAAATTAGTCTTGTATTTTCCATGTTTTGGATGAATTAATGAATTTGAATTAATTGATATGGAAGAGTTTTTTTTAAATTTGATATGCAAATGAGTGCTGGAAATATACTATCTAAATATCTATAATCTAAATTTTGAACCTTTACAATTTTTTGCAGAATTGAAGAAAAGGTTAAAATTGAAAGCATATTTCAACGAAAACTTAGCCGACTACCAGTCACACTGCCTGCCAGCCAAGACGTCTGACCAGCTAAAATGAGGGACGCAGACCACCAGCCAAGTCCCTCGGCCAGCTCGGCTGACCCAGTGCGGCCTGTCAAGGGATGACCAAGTCCATCAACTAGCTCGGCTGACTACCAGTGCAGCCTGTCAAGTCCTTCAACTAACTTGGCCTATTACCAGTGCGGCTGTCATTGAACAACCAAGTCCATCAACTAGATTGACTTACTACCAGAGCGGCTTTTCAAGGGATGGTCAAGTCCGTCAACTAACTTAACCTACTACCAGTGCCGCATGTCAAGAGATGGCCAAGTCCGTCAACTAGCTCAGCTTACTACCAGTACAGCCTGTCAATATAGGGGCTTACTACCAGTACGGCCTGTCAATATAGGGACGGTTAAGACCGTTGACTAACTTGGCCTTCTACCAGTGCTGCTTGTCAAGGGACGGTTAAGTCCGTCAACTAACTTGACCAACTACAGATGCGACCTGTCAAGGGATGGCCAAGTCCGTCAACTATCTTGACCAACTACCAGTGTGGCCTGTCAAACGATGGCTAAGTCTGTCAGCTAACTTGGTCTACTACCAGTGCGGCCTGTCAAACGATGGCTAAGTCTGTCAGCTAACTCAGCCAACTTTCGGTGCAGCCTATCTTCAAATAATAAAGATAAACAACTGTACACCTGCAAGGATACCTGTGCAAGGAGGGTGGTATGCAGCTAGAAACTGTAACTGAAATCACTGTTTAGAACCTTTCTTTTTTTTGAAATACAGCTAGATCAAAAATAAATAGGGTGTTAATATTTAAAAATCAGTGATGTCTGTTTATACAAATAGCAAGAGTAGAATGCAGTTTGCTAGGTAATTTTACAAAGACCCTAATTGCTATATGCTAAAAATGTATTCTTTAAAACAACCAGAGAAATTTCAATCTGTTGTAGATGACATGATGAAAAATAAGGTACACTTGAATTTTGAAAACAATTGCATGTGCATTCATTTAGTTGTATTTGACAATAAACCAAGCTATCTTTATCGTGTTTGTTAGGTAAAATTGTTATTGCCTTTAATATGTTTTAAATAATCTTTTTTGTATAAATTTCAAAAATCTTTTTTTTTTAAATTTTAATGAGTAGCTTTTTAAAAGCTTATAACTGAGTAAATCCACAACAGGTTAACATACAGTGTATAATTTCACTGGAACTTTTACGAAAGTTTTTATTAATAGGTATAACTTTTTATAGTTATAACTTTTTGCAGTTATAACTTTTTTTAGGTATAACTTTTCTATAACTTTTTCATAACTTTCTTGGGGTATAACTTTTTTGTAACTTTTTCATAACTTTATAATAGGTATAACTTTATTTAGTTATAACTTTTCCTGGGTATAACTTTTTACGGGTATAACTTTTTTGTAACTTTTTCATAACTTTTTTTGGGTATAACTTTTTTGTAACTTTTCCACTGTTTATTTGGGTATAACTAAAGTATAACTTTGTAGCTATTTTATAACTTTTTGTGTAACTTTTAATAAGTATAACTTTTTGTAGTTATAACTTTTTTATAACTTTTATATACTTGCTGTATTTATGTTGAATAAAAGGTGAAAAGTTATGTAAAAGTTATAACTTTTTTGTAACTAAGTTATAACTAAATTATACCTCACTTAAAACATGCCATTCCAAACTCCGATAACTTAGTTATAACTTTTTTGTAACTTTTTTTAGTTACAAAAGTTATAACTAAGTTATAACTTTTTTCGGTATGGGTAAGCTCTTTAATTCAGTAGTTTTCTCTAATAAGACACCAACTGCCTTTACTGCGGCTATCAAAGCACATTTTCTGTCACTACGGGAAGTAGAATTTAGTCGCTAATTGTAGAACCAAACCGGAACGGACATACGGAATTCCGAATTGTTTGTTTTTTCAAAGACGAATTTCTCATAAACCTACGCGCGCGGGTGACGTTAAAAATTATTTTAATTTTAGACAGCCTTAATATCAACAAAAGTTTTGTAACACTTTTACAATTTAAGTGCTATCCTAATTATTTTCAAACTTCAAGTAATCATAAAAAAAAAATTCAAATGTGTGATAGGATTTTGTCAGTGAGAGATATGAATTATGGATTTTAGGTGTCACACTTGAAAGAAAAATTACCCTTGAACCATAGGATCAAGACCATAGCTTATTTATCAGGATTGCTCTATTCCATCCCATAAGCCCACACTGGACAAGTAGAAGTAGAAAATAACAAGCTAAGTAATTATTAAAAACTTAAATTGATTAGCCATGGTGCAGTCTTTGAAGTGTAGGATGTGTGCTGGGCTCTTTAGACATATTGTTTTAAAATCAGCTGTTGAGATACGAAGAAATTGAAATTCACAAATATAACAGGCAATTTTCTTGCCCATGTCCAAAAAAATATTATTAATGACACTCATATTACATAACAAATGGATTATTTTACCAGAATAGTAACAATATCATCCATGGTTAATTCCTTTATGAGTTTCCCAAAAAATGTCCATTTGCTTTGAGTGGTACGTGATAAACAGAACAAAACTTTAAATCATTCATGGGTTTGTGACTATGTGTTCATCTTTTATTTTATTTTGGACATGGAAATGAAATTCAGACAATACCTTTAATGATAAATACAAGTTTCCCCCTTAAAATTTTATTGACAGTTAAATCCATGCAGCAGGCAGTCTGAAAAGCAAAATTGATCCACTATATTAAATGGCTAGTAAAGACATAAATTACGAACAGATCTATATCGGGGGAAAATAATGATTAATGTCGATTTTGAATATAGGTAAACAAACTTCTAATGTATACATATATATTTAGATAACGGGATTGAGGAAAGTTTAAGGGAGATGCAGATGATATTACGGGGGACTAGAGAGAGAGGGGAAGATATGTAGCCAGCATTGTGACAGCTGCGTAACACGGAGTGACAGAGAGAGCACTTAGTCGCGGTTTTTATTGATACTGTGATATTCGCAGCTGAAGTTGTTGCGATCTCGCCTGTTTTTAGTGTTAAGAGTCCTGTTTTACTTTCTATGCAGCTATCATTATCCGTTTTTTCAAGCTGTTTAAGGGATTAACTGCTGGTTATGGAATTATTGCACTTTATTATCAAGAGGAATTAATAATTGGTGCTTTGGAGCTTTTATGGAATAAATGAGTTCTGCACAATGTTCTAAGAGATGTAATGGATGGAAGTACTAAGTGCCTTATGTATCCTTTTTTGATGTAGTTTTGATGGTTTTTGGATAATTTTAGTATTGCATATTTTCCCCTTATTTTAAGCATTATTCTAATGTGTTGTCCTAAATTGAAATTTAATTTAAAATTCATGGTTTGGAACTTTCATTCTGACAAACTTTTCAAAGAAATTTTATGTGGAGTAAAAATTTTTTAATGACCTTAAAATTAAGCTAGGGTTCATCTTACAGAATATTTTATAGAGCATGACTTTTCTTTTAAAATTTTCAAATCATACATGTTATAATTTACTTTTGAAGTAACAATGTATCTGAGTGTTTGAGTCCTTTCTGCAGAAAGTTGCTCTGCAGTTGCTCAAGCATTCCAATCTGAAGTTAATGCTATAATTCCCTGTGGTATTGCAGTTTTGTGTCAATTGATTTATCAACGGTCAGAAACCAATTCAAGAGATTCACATTCCTTGGACCTCTGTCGATCAGATCAATTGTTTTTAATGAATATGCATCCATTTACATATGTTTCTGCCATTATGTCAACATATTTCAGTAAACAGACACTGCTTCATGCAACAAAAAAAACTTTTGATTTTTTTTGTTCATATTTTGTTGCAGTTGGTGTATAGAATTTACTTATATATACAGTATTTACTTGTCATAATGCAGTGCTGCTCAAAGATAAAACAAGTACACAGCAGAGATGCATAATTGATGTACAAGTATTGTACTCTAACTTTGATAATTAATGCACAAGTCAATTATGATGGATTTTAGATTTGCAATAAGGTTAACAAGAGTTATTGCTACTTATTGATGGGTCATCTGGTCATAGAGGGGAAACAAAGCTATATATTGTTGTTGCTGTCAACTAGGTTTTGTAAGTTAAAGGTTAAGTTTACTTCTATGTTTACTTTTATGACCATTTCCATTGAAAGGATACATGTACAATAACTACTATGTTTTATCAAACAAAGTTTCTGTTGACTATGAGTTGACTAGATTTTTGGGTTACTTGAATAGTGGTCAATGCAAAAGACAGAATCTTTGATGTTTGACCTTAAGTAAGGCCATAATGAATAAATTGCTAGATTCTCATCTGAATTTTTTTAAAAATCGAGGCGGGCAGGCGGCCTTTATTTTATATTTTTTTATTTTTTCAATTTTGCAGATTTTTTATTGACCTGGTCATTCGGTGTAATTTTATCTACAATACCCGAATAAAAGTCATAGTAAAGGTTCAGTTATCTCTTACTTCACATTATCACCAATCTTTTTCAACCAATGACCCTTGTTTAAAATATATACGCATGTAATACAGCAATTACCATCTTTTCAGCTGTCAAAATCATGTCGACTTTCGCGGGATTTAAAACGAAAGTAGAATGGTAGATGAATACCGATCCCAATCAGAATTCAGACAAAGAAAAACAGAAATTAAAAAAACTGAGGCGGGCCGTATAAAATCTGGGCGGGCGGGGATGAGAATCTAGGAATATTTTTATTATGACCTAAGTGGCAATTTTTTTTTACTTCCTCATTGTATAGTTACTAGATAAGTGAGGATGAGAGCTATGGAGACATTCTTAGGTTTTCGGTATTATAGTCACAGCACAGGTTCTCAAACATGGCTTGTTTAAATGCAGCATTAGTTTAGTGGGAACCTGATATGATCATGCAAAAAAGAATGAAGCTGGGTCAGTTTTGAGTGACATGCATTATTGCTTGAAAGCTTCTTGTTGTAGAAATTGTCACCATGAATCTGGTACTTACATTCTATTGCTTCCAACAGCAAATTTTCTATGTCATCATGAACAAAATGATACAATATTGCTCACAATTGCAACATTTATAGTTATATTATACCTCGAACAAAGTTAAAGAGGGGGCATTGTTTATGTACCTAGTAAGTTTACCCGCATGAGTTCTTGCAGAAAACTTAAACAATCTTAGTGAAACTGCACAATGATAATCACTATTGCCATGAATTCATTGATTGATTGTATATTGTTTAATGTCCCTCTCAAGAATTTTTCACTGTTATGGAGACACCACCACTTGCCAGAGAAGAGCTGT